AGCCACAGGTTTAGAATGAAAACAGGTAATAACCTTTAGTTCATGCAAAAAAAGATATTAAGTGGTTTTCGATAGTTTTAATTGTAAAAAACGCACATAATTATGGTCTGCGAGTCTACATAAGTTTAAGAGAAAAACGTCGGGGTCGAGACCGTTGCTGTTTGGGAATTTATGCTGTTTTAAAAGCGGTAAAATGTGCAGTGTCCGAGTTTTATCAGGGCGGGAAGCAAGAATCGACACTTTTTGTAGCCTTCACGGAGCTAAGAGAATTCTTATGTAGGCTTCTGGCCTGGAAGCCACAGGTGAGAATGAGGGTACTATAAATGTTAGGTAGCATGTAGGGGATGTGTTGCAAAATGTGAGTCTCAAAAACATATGGTTTTGTTTTCTCGGTCTTTTGTCAAACGGGAAGTTAGTGAAGGCAACTGTCAAAGAATTGGCACCTATCATGATAATCATAAGCAGTACGGTGCAAACAGCGTAGTCGGCTTGAAGAATTGAAGAAGCAAAACAGTCTAACAACTGTAACATGCTTGCTTGCTTCGCAAATTTAAATTCTGTGGAGTAGGGTTTAGAGGTGACAGAGCTGTACTAAGTTGCAGTGGCGTCTACATTCGGCAACCTGTTTCAAGCAAGAAACGAAAAAATCTTAGACCGGCCGAAGACATGTATGTATAAATATGCACGTAAGAAAGGAAACGGAATGTTGCTGAAATTATCGGACAAACATTAAACTGTAACTTGCAATGAATTTATGAACTGAGGCAGTATTATTGCACATTGTCAGGTCGATTAATTGCAGCTGTGCACCGAGGATTTCTCCAAACTGTTTCGCCAAGCTCAGTATTAACCTACCGAAATTTTGTTTTCGGGGGAAATACCATTTTATGATTACTTGGGATCGTTCTCAAGTAGGATAAACAGGCTCGTTTGGGTGTTTCACCTGCTTATTTTCTTATATCCTCATCCAACAGATCTCAAAAACAGAAGACGAGAAATCTTATGATTAAGGCCGGATTACGAACAACAGGAGTAGTAGTGTGTAGGGCCTCAAGGCCAGACAGACATCTTTGAGAAAGCATTTTTTAGCAACTGCGGCATACTATAAAGAAGAAGAGCAGCATTCGAAGTAGTGACAGATCGTTCCCACTTCCAGTGTTAATGGAGGATCGCACAAATGGAATGTGCTTCTGGAGAACCAGTTAGTGAAGACATTTATGAGGCTAATCTAATGGAAATTGAAGAAAACTCCGTAGTTTTAGCTGTACCGGTTGCATATGTGGGCAAACATTAAGTATATGTATGTAGATGTACATGTAACTATTAAAACAATGCCCTCATATTTAGCTGGACAATTCTGGCAACAGGGAAAGTTGTTTTGAGTCATGGCTTTCAGGTTTGAAAAACGCATAGGGTTCCGGTCTGAACATATCTTTATTAACGTCCACAAGCGCTATGTCCAGAAGGTTTCTCCTTTATTGAATTTTGAACCTGTGAAGCATCCTGTGGGAATCGATCCATATGATGCCCGCATATGCTTACCCTTCCATATTCGAATACCTTTCATTACTAAGTTCCCTCCCATCCACAAGGATGATACAGAATCTGATTACCCAGTGCGGTCAAACACCGTTTCAGAACTGGAGAAGGTTAACGTTGAGCGATATTTCGTGTAAGTGAGCTTTGTATTATACTGACTGGTACAAAGTAATTGGGTGGAAACAACAACCTGTAACACGGCCGTTCCGAAAGATGTGACTATGCAGTACGACTCGGGCTTAATGAGGGTTGAGAAAAAACAATCAGTTGACTCATTCAGCTTGAAATCTGCCTATCGGTTACGTAGACAGCGAAACCTCCGGTTTTCGACAATCGCTTGATTGCAGTGAATAGTGTTTACAATACACTCATATACATACATCCACAGGTTCCATAGTTGCCCAGAATGTTTATTTTATACCGAGGGACACTGAAAAACCTGGCTCTTAAATGTAAAAGACGAGCGTTGTACGTCTGAACATTCACAGTAACCCAGCAATGAGGCGGTTTCAACAGAAGCCGATTAACTGCGCCTTCTAGTGTTACCAGTGTGCACAGGTGGCAGCAATCCGAGACAACAGTTCAGTCTGCTAGTCTATTCCCTTGAAGCATAGCGGCAAGCAATAAGAAACTGGCAGCAATTTTAGTTGAGCAACGACAAAGTTGGTCGTGTGCATCATTTTCAGAAAAAAACCCACAAAATTTGCTATGAATTGATTGCAGAAATACTAGGAATATGTTGCTAACGGTGCGTTTCAATTTCAAAAATTCCATACTATACACCAAGTGCCGCCACATCTTTTTGACATTATCCAAGCCAAATTTGGCCAGACATCCTCAAGTCGGCGTACTTTATATTTAAAGTTTATCTAGTGTAAAAAAATCAACAAACCCTGCTTAGCAAAATAGAAAACCTTTCATAAAAACAGGTTTTGTCATGAACTGAAGTCAGGTTAGTTCGGTTGGCACCTGATATTAGTAAAGCAGTTGATTGTGACAAATAGCCAAATGCTTTGGAAGCTGATATCTCGCCGGATACGTGTGAGGAAGAAGGTGCGTGGAACAAGGGCATTCAGAGTGAACAGACGCTTTGGCACAAAGTAATCGACATTCTTTGAACCTGTAGGCACCACATATGTCGTAATGAGTGGAACTAATCTCAGATCGGAACAACTGAAGGCATACGTAAATTTTATACCAACAAAACTGAGGTTCTGTATCATCACTTTTGCAGACAATACGAAACTCTGGTTGGCCAAAAGTTCATAGCTATAGAAGTGCTGCAAAACTTTCGCCACTGCTGGTTTCAAAGATATAGTTCCTCGTAAATAGTGAAGTGTTGCATAGTTCCAGCTAAACGTCTCCAACGAGTTGCATCACATTGGCGGTGGCTTGTTGAGTGAAACCACAATGGTCACACCACATCGACTATCAAATCCGTGGTATGTAGGAAGATCTGAGAATTAACTCCCGAAGCTTTCCAAAAGTTCATCTTTTTTCAGATCCGACCCATCTTATATATGAACAGCCCGTTACATTACATTACAAACCGTTACGCTAATAACTAAATCAAGAGACTGGAGGCGGTTTGAAAGCAAAAGCTAAAACACTAGCACCCTTTAGAAATCCCCAAGACTGGAAGAATCAAAAACTGAAATGCCATCGGACACGAAGTGGCCCAGTGAACAAGAAGCAAAAACACTACGTACTTTGTGATGATTGACGGCAATAATACTCGGCTGCCGATGAATTAAAAAATGGAAATGTACATAGGAGATATAAGCTAATGTGTTTGGGCCTGTTTATCAGTATATTCTCAACGTTTTTGACGTGCGTATCAGCCATTTGATGCGGCAACCGAGGAATTTAGGAAACTTTGCAAATATTCGAAAATATATGAAAGTATGCAGCCGACCATGTGATCGCCGCACGTAAGAACGAGGCGAAGTGATGATATATTACTATGAACCACTTTATGGAAGCTGATCGCAAAGCGAGATTGTTAACAACAGACTGCTAAGTGAAGTGTTGCATAGTTCCAGCTAAACGTCTCCAACGAGTTGCATCACATTGGCGGTGGCTTGTTGAGTGAAACCACAATGGTCACACCACATCGACTATCAAATCCGTGGTATGTAGGAAGATCTGAGAATTAACTCCCGAAGCTTTCCAAAAGTTCATCTTTTTTCAGATCCGACCCATCTTATATATGAACAGCCCGTTACATTACATTACAAACCGTTACGCTAATAACTAAATCAAGAGACTGGAGGCGGTTTGAAAGCAAAAGCTAAAACACTAGCACCCTTTAGAAATCCCCAAGACTGGAAGAATCAAAAACTGAAATGCCATCGGACACGAAGTGGCCCAGTGAACAAGAAGCAAAAACACTACGTACTTTGTGATGATTGACGGCAATAATACTCGGCTGCCGATGAATTAAAAAATGGAAATGTACATAGGAGATATAAGCTAATGTGTTTGGGCCTGTTTATCAGTATATTCTCAACGTTTTTGACGTGCGTATCAGCCATTTGATGCGGCAACCGAGGAATTTAGGAAACTTTGCAAATATTCGAAAATATATGAAAGTATGCAGCCGACCATGTGATCGCCGCACGTAAGAACGAGGCGAAGTGATGATATATTACTATGAACCACTTTATGGAAGCTGATCGCAAAGCGAGATTGTTAACAACAGACTGCTAACCAAATCGTCGGTGAACGAAACTATGGCAGCCACAACCACTTCACTAGAAGTATGCGGCTATTACAGCCGACAATAATGATGATAATCGATTTACATAATAATTGACTGACTAGTGATCTGGTGTCAAAATGCTCATGGCAACCAGCCTCAAAATGGTGCTTTATAACAGACTATTGTATTGGTAACATTAGGATTGTGGTATTCTTCTATGTGTATTGGTAAATAAGTAATGCTTAAAATGGATAGATATGGAAGGTGACAGTCATATCAGAACTCGCAATGTAAGCTTTCTACAATCGTACACACTAACATGATTGAAGGTTACTTTGCAGTATCATTCAGTAGTTGCTTCAAATTAGTTTTTACCATCTCGTCTGGATGACAGCCGTAAGAACCCCAAAATTCAGAATCCAAACGCAAAAATTGATATACGAAGACCGAATGGCGAGTGCAGAGTAAGTCAGGCTAATGTGGGTGGGCCAACCAACGGGTGAAAACAGATATATTTTGCCGTTGAAGGAAGACAGAAAAGCTGAATAGGTTTGATGGTGTACCGATACCATTTATAGGGGCCCAGTTACCTTGCCCTGGGGTATATTTGGATCCGAGCTCGGCAGAAAATAATGAAATTTGAGGGTATGACAAGGTTGCACACCTTTCTTCTTCATCAACTGAAGCCTTGGTTTAATATAGACCCTTTAGAGCAATAGCACATGATAAGGTATGACAGCATGAGGCAAAAGCCACTCACCAGAATATCCCAAACTGTTTTCACTTGGTGAACTCCCAAAATGCCCTTGGGATAGTGGAGCTGCTGCTGAATGTTTCCGGCAGGGGTCCTTTGTGTTGTTTTTGGGAGGAGTTTCAGGAATAACGATGGGCAACTTTGATTGAGCTATTGAGATCTTCTCAGAGCAGCAGTCTGCACGTCCCCGTTTACAGACTTCACTGACCTGTAAATTTGGCTCGGTTTCATATGGTAAACCCCCACGTGGTGATGCCCCGCCAGAATGGCAAACGATATCATCTAATCCGACACGTTCCAGAGTCGAAGGCTTTTTGTCGGATCCGGTACCAAATGTATCAGTAATGTATTCAACACGATCCCCCATACTCAGCTGCCAACACATGGCTTAAAAGTTGAACCGTTCCTACTGTCCATTTTCTTTTGAACAATTCATTGATACTGTATGATTAGTACAGTCTAGTTCATTCCAGTACATATACTTTCCGACGTTCTAGTGAAGACTTGAAAATTCTGCAAACGCGTCATATGGCCCAACCAAAGCTCGCGCCAGCTACATGGGTGTGGCCTTGAGACTTAAGAATTCGCTTTCAAGGCTGCATTTTATTGGAATAAAGAAACGAAAGTTCGAAAAGACTGCTAGTCATCAGCTAGAAGGGTGCAGAATGTCAGAACAATTGGGTCAAAATTTTTCATTTGAGCACCTCGCAAGGTAATCTGCCAAATGCCAAGAGACTGATTTCTGTTTGTGGTGGTTTGTCGGATAACAGTCCTCAGCATTCGGAAAGCCTCGACGAACACAGGCCTATTTGGGAAGAATTTTCAACCACTTGTGTCTTGTAATAAGTTATGGTTCGTTCTCACCAGGTACGACCAATGCTTTTGCAGAGTATCATCGGGGTGACACATGGACGCATTCTGTCTGTGCTGTAACATCCTGACCACTTTCCTCGATGTCGTCGTTCCTCATCTGTCTGATTTCACTACTCGCGACAACCAGGCAACTGCGCAACTCAGCCATCATCATGTTATAGCCAAAACCGGACTCCACTCAGTGACCAGCACACCGCACAAATGCTCTCATCACGTAGTTCCACGACTGGAATTATAATGCGGTACCACATCGGCCTACAAGAAGCCTGTCCATATCGCGCGTTTACTTGCTCAAATCGGCTGTTTGTTGACCGACGCTCAGTGAATAACTCGGGATTCCACTTTTGCCGTCCGCTTCGGTCTATCACATCACCATCCATATCCATCAAGTGGAATTCCCCCATATTGGCTCGTTCTGTGCTTGCCTCTACTGTATACAGGTATTGCATCGTCTTGGCAACCACACCCATTTCCAGAATCCTCGGTCATCCACGAAGCTTTCGTCATATCTCATCTCGTTCAGCCAGTTCCCAATATCACCTACCCGCACCATATATTGATTTTCTTATCAATCTACTTCGCGCCATCAAATATCACCTCACGCCCATTGTGTTTTGCTAAACTCACCTCATTTTTCTATGGCACTGGTTGTAAATAACGTTGTTTTGCCACCATTCGCTCCACTTTCCGTCTGAACGGATCTCTGGATGATCGAAAAATGTCAGTAATTTCGCATCGGCCTGATTCTTCCTGTGTTGTCCCTCTTTACCAAACCTCATTTCTCTGGCTTCAGAGCAGCAATCCTTCGCTCTTGCATGTCAACGATGTCGTCCGGGACAGTGGTGTTTAGAAATCAAGACATGTCAATAAAATGAGGATATGACTCCATCATTGTCAATCTTGTAGCACAACCAAAACTACCTTATACACACCCTCCACTGTCACCCCGCATTGCCGATATCTATCCGGCATAAGCGATTTTCTCAAAAATCGTTGCTTGGTGGAGACAAACTTTCAAGGTAACCTGTGCTCCCTTGCATTTGTGTGCAAAACGATGGTCTACCCAATGTTTCTGGAAGATTTCACGGAAAGTGGTTGACATTTACTGACAGTCACCTGAACGATTCATAGAAGCTTGCTCCGCTGGGTGGAAAAGATTGTGGGACACCGTGCAAGACTCAAGCCAGTAACGTAACGAGCCACGTAGATGAAATTTGTAAGCGGAATCAGAACATACGGTTTGCTTCGCGGGTGGGGCATCCTTTAGACTGGTGCCAGAAAAATGCAGTGTATCGAATGAAAAGAAGTAAGCCTGCTTTATTCAAATGGAGTGAGAATCCGGTTAGGTGTGATTCGTCAAATGGGTGATGAGATGTTGAGATCCTATTATTCTTGTGCCATTCGGACGTCTTGTTTCCGTTTGCCGTTTGGGGTACGGTTGCCGAATAATGAACCTAAGGTGTAATTGATGTGATGGTTACTAGGTCGTCGAAGAACAATATAGGTGATTTTCCTGAGCAGTTATACACAGTTGCAGGGAACGGAATCAAGAGCATTCTGCGGAATTCGGTCGAATGAAATTTGAAAGATTAGGCCAAGTGCGTTTGTGAGACGACGAGGATGGTAACTGTGCCAGCGAGCAGCAGCAGCGGCACCGCAGAAATTTGATGAGGAAATTAGTGTCCTTCACTATTATTCACGTTCTACTGTGTTATCATACTAAAGTATATTTTATTACTGACTTTATCGTACTTTTTCCCAGCCATTCTGTCCGATGTTTCTGATGGAACCGAAACGGATGGATGATTTCGTGTTCTTTCCAAGGGTTAGACGCGGGCTTCGGAATCAAAAGTGCAGGTTACAAGCACTCACAACCTGGGAAGCGTGCGCGGCATCAAATGTCGGTAGTGCAAACCATAAGCTCCAGCTTTCAGATGTTATAATACCAACGCTTAGTCAGTAAACTTTTTCATCGAGTCACACAAACCGTGTTGACCAGCCACCGGGTTTTCGTACGCGGCTACGGTCTGATCATTCGTCGGGATAATTATCAAACTCAGTATATGAACCTAGGGGCAAAACTTTTTCCTTCCATTTGTCGCCATCTCAGGCAACCACGGTGAAAAGGCCAAATTCATGCTGCAGATAAGATAAGCCCCTCAGGCAGCCACGTCTTCCCTTTTCAGCCCTACAGTACAGTGTCCGCGCAATCTGATCCGCTTCACCTTCACCGTCTAGGCCTGTCCGTGAACGATTCAACGGTAAAACCATTGAACATGATTGTCCCGTGTGAATAAAATTCCTATTATCTATTATAATAGTAGTAATGTTCATTCGAAAGCGGTGTAGACGATCCTGGGGAATGCGGGTACTCAGAATTTCAAAAATCAAAATGCATCAGAATACGCACATTCTGCTCTTTTGAAGGACGTGGGACTTGTGCTCTGATCGCTTGAACCACGTGGCATTCAACTGCACACGCATGACGGATCTGTTGAACCGCATCGGCCAAACAACAATGGATATGCCTAGAATAACTATTTGTATTTTCTAGTCACAGCCACACTCTAATTCCGCGCAGCTGTCGTCCATTCCTGAATTTTTCTATGGACATTCACTGTGCGCTCTACCTCTTCCGTTTCAGTCCTCTACTTTGGTGAGCTTTTTGATTGAAACTTTNGTCCTCTACTTTGGTGAGCTTTTTGATTTGAAACTTTTCAATGGGGGCTTGGGAGGAAATCAATGTAGGGAAACAAGCTTAACCACAAACCCGATCATTTTAATGCTAATAAACCTTGTTAGGGTCAGGAGCTTTAAATTTCTTTCACCTTTCAGCGCAGCTGAGTGTATTAATTTGATGCATACCCCAAAAGATTTATAATTTCGATGCCGCCCTTAAAGGTTTGACTGCCCTCGCAGGAACGAGTAAAAATAACACAAACCTCAAGAACATAATGAAATGCATCACTGATTGAAGAACAAACATGGAACGTGTTCCAAGCCGCACTGCATGCATACGATAGTCTCAAGAAACAGACAAATCCTATTGAACCACAGGTTAGGACCGGCGGTAGGCTTGCATTACAACTGATTTGCCAGGCATCTTATCCTTGAGAAACTGTTGACTGCCACGCGCTGCTTGATAAACTTTCCGCGTTGCAACTTTTAAGCATCTCTTCACACCTTGTTTCGCTTACTAATTTTCCCTGGAAGGCTTTATTCGTAAATCCGTTCAGCGATCCACGAAAATCTTCACCGACGCTACAAGGCTAAAGAGGAAGCTATACTAGATTGAGTTTTTCTGATGGCGATGACGTGTGCGAATCGATCCGCATAGAAGTTATAAAGAAGTTGGTTTCAATTACAGCCATTCGATTTTATTGAGTAGGGTTTCTTGGTTTGCAGATAGCGTGCGAAGCACGATGCATACTTGCTACCCACGGTACAGAGGTGCATTTGTCCAAAAGTTTCAGAGCTGGACTAGCAATTCTTCCAGTGTTATCATTATTTCACAAACGATGCTACAAGCAATTACTGTCCAAAATCTAGATAAAAACAATAAACGAAGTGCCCAAAGTTAGCAGCCCCTGCTGCGGACAAGCATTGTTGGAACCCTGCTTTTCTGAATGAATTAGAATAAAATTACGATATTTATGCGCATTTATCAGTAGAAGCATTTTTAAAAAATGGCGGTTAGATGTTTTACGACAATCGATATGCTGAAGCATTTGCTTCTTGCAGTAAATTAGCTCAACTCTTGTTATCCATGCACCCATGGTAAACAGGTGGTAAAGTGTATCTTACACCACTGGGTTCACAGTCCAAAATTTGGAGCCGAAACCACGTGACATGTAAGCAGGCCTGTCATACAAGTAACTCATGACCTGACAGGTGTTCAGTGTTAGAAAAATTTCGGGGTTGTGGTGTCAGAACGGTTTGTGAGGTCAAAGAGCTGTAGTCGTGGGCCCACTGGATGGCGTCAGTGGCAACTATTCAGAGTAGGTATAAAACAACCACGCAAAAGACCAACGATTATAATGTCGGTGATCGATTTGCTATCCTTCCTGAATCCTACACAACCAGGTAAACGAGGCTTTGGTGTTTGGCAATATCCCTTTGCTATCATCTGAAACAAGAAGAGCGATTTAATATGGCCATCGATTTTCGTTGATAGGATGGACGCCAGGCAAAGCATAAGCTTATTCTACTGCGGAATTTCCATTATTCTGAAAATGACGGTCGGTTTGTCGACAAGCTCTTGTAGAGAGAATAAAATTGAGATGGTTCCGCATAGTTTCACACGTACAGCGAAGAAAAAACAAACCATGCACATGAAATGCAGAACATCGCAGCGTTTGAAGAACAGAAATCTGATTACCGAAAAACGTTCCAAACTCAAATCGCCACCAGAGGTTGGAAATTGCAAGGATGTGACTGTATGGGAGCCGCGTGAGCAGGAAAGGCGCCCAGCATGATCGACGTACTTATCCTTGGTAACATTGCAGCACAGCGGTGAGCAAACACATTCGAAAGTACAGTTCGCAGCGCCAACCTACCTAAAAGACCAACTTAGAATGCTATATATTGCAGACGGATAAGGTGGATCAGAGTTGGGGACGGTCGCCAAAGCAACGCGTTTAGCGCAGCGTTGCGGCGCAGGCTTTGTGACCAACATTGGCTGCCGTAACACTGGCAGGCATGGATAACACGGCGATCACCGAAAGTGACCGTGTGACGAGGAAATGGCAAGGTGCACATTGTCTCGAGTGACGAGGTATGCTGCGTTATGCCCAGACTTGAGATAAAGTCATCCCAAAACAAATGTTTCGCTGCTCAAAGGCCGCAAAAAGCATTCTGGCACTGATGCAAAAGCACATTCTGCAGAAGATAAAATGTTGGCACTCTGTTGACCTCCGTGGAACTGTGGTGATCGATGCACTGGCATGATTACACTTTTACAGACCATAGGCGAATGCACCTATATGGATTTTATACGAACGTCAAACGACAAATAACGCGCAAACATGAGGAAGAAGGTCATACAACTAGTTGTGCGGAGGGAGTCGCCGTTAATTTGAAAAATGCGGTGGAGGTTATCCGGATACGTCGGAACAAAGTTTGCATAACGAGCCCCTGGCCTGACCATAGTAACAGCTCACGGCTAACTACAAGGCTCCCAGAATTGTAGCAGAATGTTAGCGACAGGGAGGCAGTTTACTGTGTGCAACCAGTCGCGAATAATAACGGGATGCGAAGCGCGCGAAGGTGATGCCCATTAGGAACACAACGCCCATAGCTGCAAAATCTTTGCGAGTGGAATAAAACATTATACGCCAAAATATTGCATTTTGTTGCGTATATGCTCCAACTAAAATCCATCTTAAACTGTGTCCGTATCTTTGCAGGTCACAGAATTTCATTGTGCAATTAAGCATTCATACCTCTGGCGGATAAAGCCCAGTGAGATACA